CTATAGCACTTAAAAGAGTTTTTTTCCAATAAGATGTATCTGACTCATCTAACTATGTACAATTATTATGCTGCATAGTAATTAGGAGAACCAGTTAGCAGCCGTATCATGGACTATAATATCATTTAATTTTTATAAAGTTTTATTGTCACCTTTTGTTTCTGTTTCTTAGAGCTCATTCATTTCCCAGTATACTGCCTGCTCCCAAATGAATCCTTCCTTGTCAAGTCAAGTTCCTTGTTCAGTTGTATCTTAACTCTACGTGACCCCATTTGGGGTTCTCTTAGCAAAGATACTGAAGTAGTTTGCCCTTTTCTTCTCTGGTTCATTTTACAGATGAGGAAACTGAGACAAACAGTGTTAAGTGACTTGCCTAGGGTCACTGGTAAGTGTCTAAGGCTGGATTTGAACTCAGGAAGATGAGTCTTCCTGACTCCAAGCCTGGCGCTCTATCCATTGCGTCACCTAGCTACCATGACCATTGATTAAGCACCTACTATGTTCCAGACACTATGCTAAGCGTGGGGATACTAAGAAGGGCTAAAGACAGTCCCTCCTCTCCAGAAGCTCACAGTCTAATGTGGGAGACCATATGTCTGTATATGTTCAGACAGGATATACAGAAAATAAATTGAGATAATCATAGAAGGTAGGTGTTACCCTTAAGAAGGACTGGGAAAGGTTTCTGGCAGAAGACTGGGACTTTCCCCAGTCTTACAGGAAGCCAGTGAAGCCAAGAGGCAGAGACAAGGAGAGAGAGCATTCCAGGCATGGGGGGCAGCCAGTGAAAAGCATGGAGTCAAGCGCTTGGAGTGTCTTGTAAAGAGGAAAATTAGTTAAGCAAAGCCTGACAAAATGACCATGACTGAAAGTCTTTCTCCCCTTTAGCTTCCCACTTCTCTACTCAGAGATGGGAAGTATGTTTCCATTGTCTGTCCTCTGGGACCAAGATTGGTCCTTGCAATTAGGTCAAGGTCAGCTGTCCCTTAGTGTTGTTTTTATTTACCTTATTGTTAGTCATTGTCCTTCTGGCTCTATTTGTTTTGCTCTCCCATCAGTTAATGCTATTCCTCCCATGCTTCTCTGAATTCCTTATTTTGGTTGTTTGTTATGGGACAATCATCTTTCTGTTGCATTCGTATGCCACAATCCTTTTAGCAGTCCCTAGTTGATGGGCAACTGGTTTATTTCTAGTTCTTTGCGACCACAGAGTATTGTGAATATCTTGGTGTGTGTGGAGCCTCTTTGTCTTTTACCTTTTGGAGTATATACCTAAGCAGTGGGATCTTTGGAAGGGTATCGACATCACAGTCATCTTTTTTTTTTTAAATCATAGTTACAAATGGCATTCTATATGGTTAGAACAATTTACAGCTCCACCAACTATGTATTAGTGTGTCTGTCTTTCCACACCCCTCTAACATTGACTATTTCCATCCTTTGTCATCTTGGCCAGTTTGCTAAAGTGTGAAGTGAAACCTCAGAGTTTTTATTTCCGTTTTTCTTATTAATGATTTGGAGAAATCTTTAAATGGTTATTAATAAGTTTGACAATCCTCTGAGAAGTGTTTGTTCGTATCTATTGACCACTTATCCACTAGGTAAGTGTTCTTGGGCTTATATATTTACATAGCAAATAAGATCAAATAAGACAATATTTGTAAAGTGCACATAACACTACCTGCCTGACATATAGTAGGCCCTTAATAAATCTGATTCTCTTCCCTTTGTTTCCCTTTTTCTCTGAGGATTTCAAATGCAGTACTTCAAGTAGAGATTTCACGTTATAAAACTGAACACGAACAAAGTAAAAGAATAGGAAGAAAAAACGTTAGAAGATCTTGAGTGGCTAGGAAGGCTAAAGATAGGAGATGGCTCTGTGATTTCATTAATTTTGTGTTCAATTATACTTTTTTTTTGGGGGGGGGCTAGGCAATGGGATTAAGTGACTTGCCCAGGGTCATACAGCTAGTAAGTGTTATGTGTCTGAGGCCGGATTTGAGCTCAGGTCCTCCTGAATCCAGGGCTGGTGTTCTATCCACTTTGCCACCTAGCTGCCCCTCTATTATACTTTTTAATAAAAATATTTTAAGTATTTTATTTTTTCTAATTACATGTAAAAACAATTTTTACCATTCTTTTTTTAAAAATTTTGAATTCTAAATTCTCTCCCTTACTTCCTCCCCCTCATCCCTTAATTTAAAAAAGTATTTCCAATTACATTGTAATCTGGTGTTTGACACTTCTGATGCAGAGAGCTTCTGCTGATGAAGGTTGCATCTTCTCTGCAATGTATCACCCTGGGGAGCGGCCAAGGGCATGGAGAGGTTACGGTGAACACTGAGGCACTGGGAATCCAGGCAGAGGATTCTGAAGCTCAAGTCCCTGTAAGACACTGAAATTTTCTGAGATGTGTCTCATATGTTTTTAGGGAGTATTTTGAGTCAGAGGACCCGAGATTGAATCTGGACTGTGCCATTACTATTCGTCTGACCACAGGTAAATCACCTAATCTAACTGGGCCTTCATTTTCCTTATTTGTAAAATAAACCCTTTGGGTCAAATGACTTTCTAGATGCCAGTTGGTGACCCTATGGTCCTATGCCTATCTCCTAGACTCCTCATGTTTGCCAGGACCAATCTCAGGGTAAGTTAGATCATAAAAAGGTGACTAACCTGTAACTGGAAGGGATAATTATTTCCCTTTCATTTGCCTTTGTGGAAGAATTTTTCAGTAGCTTCAGGCAGCTCCTTGAGAGTAAACAGCGAAATACAGGACGTGAGCGGGTGCATGTTGGGGCCACTCCATGAATGTGACCTACAAGCAGAAGGCCCATGTGCAAATTCAGGGTGCATGTGGCACCCATTGGTTTTTCTGATAGATTTGTAAAGTTGAAAATGTTTGAGAAGTGTGGATCACACACACGCATACACAGAGCCCTGGATGCTGATGATACAATTAGGCTTTATGGAACTTTCATCTTCAAAAGCCTTCACTTACACGAATGGACTAATTAGTCATTTTGGGTTGTGTGGCATAAAAGTCAACTCTTCAAAGACAGCCTTGGATTCTCCCTGAAACTGAGAGTCTCGGCTTTTCAAGTAGAGCATTTTCACCCCCAAGGGGAAAATAAATTATCTCTATGTGTGTGTGTGTGTGTGTGTGTGTTTAAACACTGAAAAGAAAGGAAATAGCTCCCTGTGCTCTATGGAAGGATGGGGTCCATGGATTCTGGGTGGGATTACAGGAGGTCGGAGGAACTGCACTTAGAGATGTTTACAGTAAGCACGGGGAACTGGGGTGGCATTTGTTACAGTGGGGCCTTTTGATTGTTTTCCTTCCACTCCCCCCCATTTCTTTCCTCTCTCATTTTCTCTTTCTTTTGCTTCATCTTTCTCTTGTTTTCTTTCTCATTTGTCCCATTCTTTTTCTCTTTTCTTTCTCTCATTTTCTTGGTTTTTTCTTTTCCTCTCATAGTTTTTCTTTTCCTTTCTTTTGCTTTATCTTTCATTTTCTTTTTTTCTCATTCTTTTTCTCTTTTTTCTTTCTCTCAGTTTCTTTTTTTTTCTTTCTCTCTCTCTCCCTCCCTCTCTCCCTTCCTTCCTTCCTTCCTTTCTTAAATCTAGAAAGTCATTTGACCCGTAGTGCTTATTTTACAGATGAAGAAAAGGAAGTTAAGTGATTTGCCTCAGGTCACATAGGTAGTGACAGAGACCAGATTCAATCCCTGGTCCTCTGACTCAACAAATCTCCCCAGAAACATAGCAGTTACATTCTCAGAAAACTTCAGTATTTTATAGGGACTTGAGCTTCACAACTTTTCCTTCCTTCCTTTTTTTCTTCCTTCCTTTTCTTTCTTTCTTTCTTTTTTCTTTTCTTTCTTTCTTTCTTTCTCTCCTTCTTTCTTCTTTCTTTCTTTCTTTCTTTCTTTCTTTCTTTCTTTCTTTCTTTCTTTCTTTCTTTCTTTCTTCCTTCTTCCTTCTTTCTTTTTCTCTTTCTTTCTTTCTTCTTCCTTCTTCTCTCCTTCTTTCTTTCTTTCTTCTTCTTCTTTCTTTCTTTCTTTCTTCTTCTTCTCTTCTTTTTTCTTTCTTTCTTCTTTCTTTCTTTCTTCTTTCTTTCTTTCTTTCTTTCTTTCTTTCTTCTTCTTTCTTTCTTCCTTCTTTCTTCTTTCTTTCTTTCTTTCTTCTTCCTTCCTTCCTTCCTTCCTTCCTTCCTTCCTTCCTTCCTTAATTGACAGTATGTTTGGAAGAAAAGGAAGAGAATTACTATTGGTAATCATAGCCAAAAAAAAAAGTTTTCCTGTCCCCTTTAAACTGGACAAATTAGGCCTGGATTTCTGAGGTTGAAGAGGGAGGCCTCGCGCTCCGGTTTCCCCCGGGGTCCTCCTGAGTTTGACACACCTTACAACCACAAGAGAGCACTCTTTCCTTTGATGATTCCCCCCCCCCCCACCTCCCTGGGAATGAAAGAGCGAGTTTTAAGTTTGCAAACAGTCTAAGAGCTCTTCCCATTAGCCCCGAACACCAGAAACCACAAAGGCTCCAGTTGGGGTTTGATTTTCAAGGAGAAAAGCCTCCAGTGAACTCTTTCTTGGCCTGACAGCAGAGCCTTGGGTTCCTGGGCGGGGCTCTCAAAAACCCGAACATTCCTGTGCACTTTGCAAGCTACTCATCTCCTGAAGACCTCGACTTGGTGGATTATAATAATTGAAAAGCATTGGTAGCTTGGGAAGATTACTTTGTGTTGGGTGTGAGCTGGCATTTCCAGGCTAACGGACAGAATGTAGGAGACCCTTTGTTATCTTTTGAAATAAGAAGATCAGAGTGGGGGAAAGGTGGGTTTAAAGTATGGATTAGTGGTCCTGAAAACCTTGCCTACCAACTCAGCTCGGATCCTTATATAAAGACCTCACAGTACAGTGGATTTTTTAAGTCATGGAAAGTTGCCTTGAAACCTCCATGGGAACCTGAGTTTGCTGATTCTTGCCTGGACCCCAGATCTTCACCTAAGACAGACTAGGAAATAGTGGTCTTGATTTAGGTCTCTCCAGATAATCTACTTCTGTTTGGAAATCAGTCCCTTTGGTGACTCATTTTTTCAGCAAATAATGGAGAGCAGTAAGTCTGATGGTACCGTGAAAAGAATACCATGCCACTTCACTGCCACATCCATGAGCATGCCAGGGAATCGTAGCAGACTGTCTCTGGGAGAACCTTTCCATGTCTCCTTCCACCTAAACAGTGCTTACTGGGACCGGGCCTGCTACAGGGGCTGCTCAGGAAGATTCGCCTGCTATCCTCTGCCAGGACAGCTCGGAGTGTTAGATTGTGCCTTCGAACCAGCCTTCATTCAAAAACGGAACGAGCGGGAGAGGCAAAGGGTGCGCTGCGTGAATGAGGGATACGCTCGCCTCCGCGACCACCTGCCCGGGAGCTGGTGGAGAAGCGTCTCAGCAAGGTGGAGACCCTCCGAGCTGCCATCGGCTACATCAAACATCTCCAGCATCTGCTCGACTCTCATTCTTTGGGAGCTTGCAGTAAGGCCAAAGACAGCCCAGCCATGTCCAGCGCTGACCCGAGACCAGAGTGCAACAGTGATGGAGAATCCAAGGCCTCCTCAGCCTTTTCTCCATACAGCGAGTGTGAGGAGGTGTGCAGCTAGGAAGCGTCAAATTGGGGGAAGGGCGTTATTTTCTGGACTACTTTTAATATCTTCCTACCTATTTGTCAAAAACTCATCCGAGGAGTTTCCATTTTGGTGGTCAAGACATTCGGGAGGAAAAAAGAAATGACTGCTTCAGTGGGGGGAAAAAGGTATTTTTGTTCTTTTGCTCTGAGGGGTTTCCCCCCTTAAACAATTATATGCCAGCTACTAAGAGGGACTTTTAAAGTAATATCTTTTCTTGTACATCTTTCTCTGAAAAGCATGAGGATACGAAAGCGGGTACATTCCTGTTAACATCCCAGGATAGCAAGGGGTGGGAGAAGAGGATTGGAAAACAGGGTAGGAAAGCAAAAAAGACAGCCATTATTCCAGACACTTTAAAGAAATTAACATCTGGAATTTCCATCCGTAAGAGATGATGGTAAATTATAGAGAGAGATGTATAGGTCAATGGATGATGAAAATAGGAAATCCTTAAAAGGACAAACCTTGGCTGAACCCTTCTCTTTGTGAATTAGGTTAGAACTCTGATGGACTCATGGCTTTTGGTGACTGTGACCTAAAGCGGACGGCCCAGAGCTAATTTGCCAGAGTTGGCATTGGATAAATACTGTTGATGAGCTGGGTGGGAAGTCTTTCTACAAGGTGCCTGTCTGGATCCTGCTTCGGGAAATGTTGAGCCCTTGGGAATTTTGCAGCATTGAACAGAAAATAAAACATCTTAGAATGTTAATGATCTCTTTGAGGGGTGGGATGTTTGGAGATGGGGGTGGAAATCAAAATGCATTTGAAACTTTCCTTCCCTCCACCTCTTTTTATCACCGTTCTCCCCTTCCTCTGGGGAGGTGTCCTCCTTCACATTCTTCTCTCGATGATCTCTCCCTCTCTAACTTTTGATTAAATTAAAACTTGCCCCACGGTAACCCACTGGAGATAATTGGATGTGACTTTTTGATGGCTGTGCTGTACTGGGGAATAGAAGGAAAAGTTTAGTGAGACAGAGTGGCAGGGGAGGTGAGAGGGGACACATTTCCAAGTTTCTTCTTTCATGAAGACTCAGTGAAACTATCCACTATATCTTACTTAAAATGAGCAGCAGAAATTTAGGACTGAGAATAACCAACCAAAAACAGCTTCATACTGTAGAAAGAAAGCTGGATTAAAATCCTTGTCCTGCTACTTAAAGCTGCGTGTCTTCCCAGCCAAGGACCTCAGGGGGTTCAGTGAAGGGTCTTTGAATCTGTAAAATGAGAGTGCTGGAATAGAGCAGGGGGTTCTTCACCTGGTATCCATGAACTTTAAAAAAATGATAACTATTTCATTAGAACTGACTTGCTGTGCGTTTTGTTTTTATGAATTTAAAAACATGATTCTGAGAAAAGGTCCAGAGATTTCATCAGAGTGTCACAGGGGTCCAAGACACAAACGGGAAGGTGCCCACACCAAGGGATCCAGAAGGTCCCCTCCTGGCTCTGAATCCTCCTGCTATATCATGTCAGTTTCCACTGAGAAGTGAAGTCAATTTCCCACCTCCAACTTTGTTTCCTGATGCTTCCATAATGGCAGTGATTCCTTGTGGAAGAAGTACTATGATGGGGTCCCACAGAGAGTCAAGGGTGGTTACAGCTCTTTTCTCCATCACCTGGTTTTCTTAGGTATTAGAATACCTGATCAGGGAACAGTCTAACCTAATTTGGGGGAGGGGTGTGAGATGGAGGGAGGGAGAGAGACAGAGAGTGAGGGAGGGGAAAGGAGTAGGAGGAGGGGGGAGAAGGAGGGAGGAAAGGAGGAAGGGGAGAGAGTGAGAAGAAGAAGAAGAGGAGAGGAGGAGGAGGAGTGGGAGCACAGGAGAGAGGGAAGGGGAAAGAGGGAGGAAGGAAAAAGAGAGATGGCAAACAAGGGAAGGAGAGAGGGAGAAAGATGATAAAGAAGGGAAAGAGGGAAGGAAAGAGAGGAAAAAGTGGAGATGTGTGTGTGTGTGTATGTGTATATATATATATATATATATATATATATATGTATACACACATACATACATATATAATAGAGAGAGACCCAGTGTTGTATCAAAGACTATGTTATTGAATTATAGAAGGGCTGCTATCTGCAGCAGAGGAGAGATCAAATGATTGTAAATCTAGAGGTAGAAGGGTCCTCAGAGACCATCTAGCCTAATCTCCTAATTTTACATATGAGGAAACAGGCTGAGAGGAAAAGTGACTTGGCCGAGGTAATAGGTAGTAAGCTGTAGGGGCAGGATTTGAACCCAGGGTCTATAGCCCCAGAGCCAGTGCTATTGCCCACGGTCACATAGGTAGTCTGGGGCAGAGCCAGGATTTGAACTCCAGACTCATCCTAACAGGTGTTGGACTATTGCCGTGGCAGTCAGTCATCCAGTATTTGTTCAGTGCCTAGGAGGCGCCTGGTTTCAGAGGCTGAGGCCCTTGGTTCAATTCCTGGCTTTGGCTCTATCTGTGTGACCTTGGGCAAGTCCTTTCAACTCTCTGGGCCTCAGTTTCCTCCTCTGTAAAAGGAGGGGCTTGGCCTAGATGCCCTCAGAGTTCCCTTCCAGCATTTAATCTGTGACCCTGAGTCTATGGCATTGTAGGTCAGAGGGAGTGAGAGTGGGACACTGAGTCCATGTTATACCAGATGCGTCCTACAGTTCACTGCTGCCTCGCTTGTGACTTTCTAGTGCCTAGCACACAGTAGGTACTTAATAAATGCTTGTTGATTGACAGACTATTAACAAGCTGGGTTGTGATGGCTCGCCTTATCTGGGATAGCTGCTGATTTTTCAACTGCCAGACAAACATCCCAGAATGATTCTGGGCCAAAGACTTCGTTTTGACTTAAGAACAGCAGGTCTTTGGCTTGAATTATGGCCTAGATGATTATTATCATGATATGTAATTATATGTAAAATTGCTTTTGTTTTCTTTGTATAGATTCAGTCCCATCCCGCACTAGCCCCCTGACTTATCCTGTTGTTTCCTCCAGAGAGGATGTTAGTCCCCTAAAAGGGAAGTCCAAATGATGAAAGCCTGCATGTGTTGTATTTACTAATTAAAAGCAAATGGGGAGAATGCCTGTGTCATCTTGCTGTCTGGGGGCTGGAGGAGAGGATATTTGACCAAGCCCCTGAGTATCTAGAGAGTTTTTAATGTGGCTTTGTTTTGGTAAAGAGCCCAGACTCTTTGCATTCAAGATAAGGTCATGACTATGAGAAACACTTTGAGGGATTTTTTTTCCTTTTAAGGAGCTCTCAGGTCTAATCAATGTAACTTTTCTTTAAAGAGGAGGAAAAAAATCACTCGGACGGTCTCCAGAGACCTTCCTAATGACTCTTCTTTTGTACAAGGAGTGAGCCCTCTTTTAGGCAGAAAAATGGGAAAGGAGACATATTCCCTGGAGCTGTCCAGGCCATGGAGTGGAAAGGACCGTCCCCAGGAGTCAGGAGACCTGGGTTCCAATCCCAGCTCTGATACTTTGCAGCTTGAAAAAGCTAGAAAAAACGTCACCAGGCTTGGAGTCAGGGAACCTGGGTGTGAATCATGCCTCTGACAACTGGCTAGATATATGTCCCTGAGAGAGGCCCCTACAATCATAGGAGGCTATCTATATCTAGCTCAAGCCCCTCATTTTACAGGGGAGGAAAATGAGGCACAGATAAGCGTGGTCCCACAGCTAGCAAGTAACCCAACTGGGTTAATAAGAATAATAGCTAACATTAAGGTTTGCAAAGCACTTTGCAAACATTATCTCATTTAATATTCACAGCACCTCTGTAAGATATTATCCCCTTGGGGCAGCTAGGTGGCACAGTGGATAGAGCTCCAGCCTAGGTGTTGGGAGGATCTGAGTTCAAATGTGACCTCTGACACTTGCCACTTATTAGCTGTGTAATCTTGGGCAAGTCATTTAACCCCCGTTGCCTCAAAAAATAAAAAGATATTATTATCCCTATTTTACATATGAAGAGACTGAGGCCAAGTGACTTAGACAGTTACACAGCTAGTAAGTATGTGAGGCAAGATTTGAACCCAGGCCTATCACCTTACTCACTGTGTCACCTACCTCCCTTCAGGGATGTAATTTCTGTGACTCTGAATCTAGTGGTTTTATTATTGTGCCTCTCTGGGAACTTTCTGGGAAGAGAAAAGTAGTCATGAAAATTCAGTATGAAATAGGCAGCTACATATCACAGTTTTTAGAGCGCCAGGACTGGAGTCAGGAAGACCTGAGTTCAAATCCAGCCTCAGACATTTATTAGCTGTGTGACCCTGGTCAAGTCACTTAACTCCATTTGCCTTAGTTTCCATATTTATAAAATGAACTAGAGAAAGAAATGGCAAGCCTTTCCAGCATCTCTTCCAAGAAAACCCCGAAATGGGGTCACGAAGAGTCGGACACAACTGAAATGACTGAACATTACAGTCCAGTCACTGTGCTAGGCTATGGAGACGCAAAGACAAAAATGAAACTATCCCTGCCCTCAAGGAGTTTACATTCTACTGGGTGGGAGGGGAGAGAGAATGAAGTAAATACATCCAAAGTCAATAGCTACAAAGTCATTTCTGGGAGCCAAGTTCCATTTTCCTTTCAATGTGTACCATCATCTTAGAGAAGCTTTATCTTTCCTTTCTGGTTGACATGCACCCAGCTCTCTAGATTTGTGTCTCTCATTCCATCCTTTATCACAAGCTGCAGCAAACACTTAAATCATCTAAAAAAAAGCACTTTGTAAATTTTCTGAAATTTTCTATTGCTATCTTTCGTTTTCACATTATCTCCATTGCCCAATCTGTCCCCCATCCTCCCACCCAGAGAGTCATCCTTTACTTTTTTTTCCTTTTAGGCGATTGGGTTAAGTGACTTACCCAGGGTCACACAGCTAGTAAATGTCAAATGGTTAGTCTGAGGTCAGATTTGAACTCAGGTCCTCCTGACTTCTGGGCTGGTGCTCTATCTACTGCACCACCTAGCTGCCCGCAAAAGTCACCCTTTATGAGAGAGTATAAAAAGGAAGAAAAAAAAGAAGGTTGGTTAGCAAAGGTAGCCAACACCTCCATGGATGCAGTGTTCCACACCTAGAGTATCTGACCTCTATAAAGAAGGCAGGAGGTGCATTCTTATACCTGGACTTTCTGGGCCAGGTTTGGTCATTGAATTAAATGGGTCCTCTATAACCACTGTTGTACCTCCTTTTACACTACATATTTATTTTATTTAATCTCAGCTGGGCCCCCTGTGCAAGAAGAAAATCCTTTTAATCCTCCCTGATTGATTCACTTTTCCACACCCCACAGAAGCTTCTTCTTCCACCGGCCTCCCACACCTCCTCCACAGCCTTCTCATCTGAGAACCTCACTTCCTACTGTATTGGACTAATTGAGGCCATTCAGCATGAACTCCATCGTTTTCTCTCCTCCTCATCTCAAAATCCCCTTTACATCTTCCCCAGCTCCACCTTTCCTCTGATAATGAGACGACTCTTCTTGCCAAGGCCAATCCCTCTCTATGTGCCTTTGACAGTGTCTGACTTTGAGGAGCTTATGATCTGATTTGGGAGACAATATGCAAACAAAGAAAGCTCTATATGGGATAAATGGGGAATAATTAACAGAAAGAACACACTAGAATTAGAGGGGTTATGGAAGGGTTAGAATATATAAAGTCCAAGGGAAAGTAGGCTCAAGTTTAGAGAGTCTAGTGGCTGGAAGTCCTTTTCTCCTCTTCTCAACATCCTCTTAGGTATGGTATCATTCTTATCTAGGTACCTTTCGGAGCCATGAATTACATTCAGTCTGCCCTTGGCTCCCAACACAGCCATACCCTCAACTGATCCAGGGAGGCCACTAGGATGCCAATGGAACAATGAGAAATTCTCTGAACCTCCAAAGTTCACAAGCTCCTCCTCTGGTCAAGGGGTGCGGAAAGGAGGCAGAGGGAGAAGACTAAGTCTAAAGCTAA